ACCTTAAATAGCCTGTTGACATATTTTTAAAACCTTACCCGTTTAGTCTCATGATACAAGAAGAAATGTAACAAACCTCAAAGAGAACAGTGACTTTACAAAAATTTTCCTTGTTCAACTGGTTATTCCTGAAGCAGAAAGGGGGAGATGTGCATTCTGAAGCCAATTTTATTATTGATGCTGCTTTATTTTTTGGTTTGTTGCAAAGTGCTACATCTCTGCTCTGTGGTGACAAAGGTGAGCCAGGGTAGAATGAAGACAAGGTAACAGGTGGGGGGATCTCCTCCAGAGAAAGCCTAGTGGACAGTGACCAGAAATTTCAACTGCTGCTTTAAGAAACAGCTGGTGATGATAAGAATACAGTGAAAAGGTATACGTTTAGGCAACAATCACTGCAAACCAAGTTTATTTTTCAGATATATCCTAACTACCTGGAATTCTAACATGATCAACTAGCTTGTAATTCTAAGGCAAATCTCCTCTTTCTTACCAACTATGGATAGTTTCCTTTCTGGTAAAAGAATGCAAATCATTTCACTCCCGGTTTCCTGAGTTTTACACGTGGACCGCTCGCTCGGCAGTCCGCATGGCCACACTACGGCCACTTCTGGAATAAGCAGGTGCCGTCTCCTTCAGCACGATCACTGCTACCCACTCCCGGACCCCATTTCACACAGAAAATTTATAGGTGGAAACAGAGGTACCAGGCCAAAGGATATCTAAGCCACGGATGGCAAACGCGAGTCCCACAGGCCGATTACAGCCCTCCACCTTGTTTCTACCTGGCGGCAGCACCTAACTCTCACTTAACTGTTAAGGAGTAGTTACATTTGTACAGTCCTAAAATGACATTCGGCCCTTTGAAGGCAACCACGAGCCTGATGTGGCCCCTGGTGAAAATGAGTGTGACACCCTCGCTCTGTGCTATTGACACTTAAGTAAGGTAGGCAATATGGTAACGAGTTGACAGTAAAAAGTAAAATCCAAAATATCAAAAGTATTTATAAAAATATCTTGTATGAAATGATGCAACTAGCATTCAGTGGGGTCAGAAGGGGCAGGTCAGCTTCCTAACCATACTCAAACGCAGTGTAGGAAAGCTCACCTTTACTAAATCTACCTGGGCCAGCACTTTGCATCTATCATGTCCAATGGTTAGAACAGTAATACTGTTCCTTCCACTCACTAAAGTCACACTGCTAAACGCAGGTCTATTTGATCTCAAATTCCTGCGCTCTGTTCTGCCTCAGTGGTTACAGACCAAATTCTCTGTTTAGAAAATTTATCACTGGACTGGTATCTTATTCAACCCAATATCATATAATATAAAAAGAATCAATTTGCTCAAACAATGAGCCAGCAGCTGGGAACTGGAAATCTTTGTAATTGAAAGTTTCTCCTGTAAGGGTGAAAAAATCGTGATCCTTAGATATGTGTATTCTCAAAGAAAACGTTACGGATATGTCTAAAACTATGCAATAAATGTTAATCAGATTGTCACTTTTTTCTTGCAAATTTCCATTTTATTCTAAGTTGTTGGCCCTTTCCTTATTTCCCTTTTTCTTCTAATTAAGTGTATATCCTAAGTATACCTTATAAATTTTCAACCTGAAATTTCAATACCAGTGATGAAGTACAAAGCAAAAAGCAGCACAGGAAAGCCTATCAGGATAAAATACTGTCAAAACTAACCCAGAAAGGCATAGACCAATGGAGATGCACACCTTTCTGGTGGCAAGAACATCTCTGAGTTACGCCAATGACGTGGGCATGGAGCCCACCTGGAAAATGTCTGCCAGTATTGGATACGGAGGGAAATATTAAACGGGACACACAAAACATTTTTCCCCTTCCCACTAAGTGTTTATTTTATAGCTTTTGCATCAGGTAATCAACTGAAATACTTCCAACAACAGAAAGCTGGCAGTATAAGGAAAAGGGGTGATTATCTCTCCAGCAGATGTGACAGAATGGTTTCAAGTTGGAAACAGTATTGCATAAATGAATCAACTGATTGGGGGGGGAGAGGGAGAGAGAACGGAGACGGAGCAAGGAGTCAGCATCTCCCAGCATGGGTCGTGAGGGGAAAGGCACTCTTTAGCTGTCTGTGTATTGATAAAGTAATGCATATGTATACACAATCCATGTTCCTCCAAATTACATCTGACGCTGCTTTAGAGATGCTCACATCCCTCTCAACAGAAAGCTACTGAAGCTGTCCGTAAAATCAGATAGACGGCACCAGTGTGTCTAAATCACAGGCTTAACAGTAATGTGTTTTAAGGAGACCATCCCCATCAGGGTCCTTTTATAAATAGTACTGCAAAGGTCACAAAGCTGCAGGAACTTAAATTATGGGATAAATCTGACTAACATGATCACCCATTTCAATCTCTCAAATTCCCACTTCAGGAAATTAGAACAGAGCGCAGCTCCACTCCAGAGGAGCTGAATTGGCAGTGCAGCTGAAACTGGGCTGCTCTTCCCTCAAAGCGCAGCTCAGCTGCCATCAGACAGCGGCTCTGCACAGGGCAAATGGATGCAAACATTTCACAGCAACCGCCCTGCTTCCTCTCAAACTCAATAGCACTAATTTATGAAGAGGCAAGTTTTCAAATCAGAAATTAGAAGCACCTGGGGCCTCTTAACGACATACTTCCTAAAAGGTTACAGTACCGGGTGCTTCTCATAATAAAGGATTTGAGGACCAAAGGTGTGTTTGACAATGATCACTGGGAAAATGCAAATAGATAGTTTACACAGATGTTCTCTATGTAGAATTTAAATATACATGAAAATACCAACTATGCATTTGGGAACCAGCCTTTAGTTGAATTCTCTAGTGCTTTTAGAACTTTTATTTCATTTTATTAGAAAAAGAGAGAATAATTGTCTACAAACTATTCTTTCTAACTATGCAAATACAATGAGCAAATCATCTGCAATATCAAAATACTATTTGTAAATCATGAATGGCACTAAGAATTTTAGGAGTTTTCAGTAGGACACACATAGAGAAAGAGCAACAGTAGATTTCAAATTGTAGACATTAACTGAATTTTAAAAACAGAAAATAAAGTTTAAAGTGTAAAAGTCAGCAAGTTCAAGTTATCTGGTTTTCAGTGATTTAAATCCAATTGTCAGGAATTCAGAAGCACCCAGTATGTTCAAAGTTGCACAAATGAGTATGAATGATAGAAAACTGACCCGCATGCAATATCTTACGTGTTGCTATCAGGTATATTTAAGTGATACTTTACAGATTAAAGCTGGGTAAAATCAAAATATATCCTCCCCATTACATTTTAAAACAGTCACAATAATTTATCAACAGTTGCCATTTCACAGCAATTAGAAAACAGGAGTTGATACAAGTTCAACAAATAGGTACTTTTTCTTCTTTTAGGAAATTAACATATAGATATACATACACACACACACATATATAACATTATAGTTTAAAATTCAAAGTGGTTGATTTGCTTTCGTATTATAAAAAAAAATTTCCCCCCTATGATCAAAATACTGAAAAAGCGCAAAGGCTGAATAAAGAAAACCACATTTGCCACGTTAAAAAAATACATTATTGTCTCAGTGGTTCTATATATTTGATTATAAAGTCAGGCGTTGTACGGACTCTGCGCTCGCCGGACCCCTAGGGCTGTGTCGGACCACACGGAATTAAATCTGACCCTTCCTCAGTCTCCAGGAAGGACACCCCTACCCCCCCCCCCAAGGATGACAGAACAAACCCCTACTCCGAACCGTGAAACTGGGGAAGAAAACAGCCCGCCTGGAAGCAATCTAAGCCATAAAAGTTTATGAATCTGTGGGAGACACTGCCTGAAATCAGAAAGCTATTCTTTGGATATAAGTCAGGAGCTTTGGGAAGCACAGAAATGCTTTTAGGCCATTGGAGTACAGATTCAAAATGACTTCTCCACAAATAATGACCTATTTCAGGGGTTGGTAACCTACCACCCCTGGTCCGTACCTAGCATGTCACCTGTTTTTGTAATAATGTTTTATTGGAAAATAGCCGCGCTCCTTCATTTACATATTGTCTATGGGTGCTTTTGTGCTAAAATGGCAGAGTTGAGTAATTGTGACAAAGACCATATGGCCCACAAACCTAAAATATTTGCTTTCTGGATCTTTATTTTAAAAAGTTTACTGTCCCCTGATCTAGCACACATGCTACTCTAGTTGCCCAGGGGAGTTAATGCCCCTCCCGAGGGCGCCAGCATGTGCTCCGAGGATAACCGGCCTCCCAGAGCTCCTCGGCAGGTAAACGTCAAGTGCCCCACCTTGAAGTGGAGTTTTACTTTTGGGCTAAGAAATAATTTGTATATATTTCCAACAAAAATCTGTAAAAGAAAGCAAGCCAAATAAGAAAAGTATGCATGTCAATATTCTGTTAATATTCTACTATTACTGCGGGAAAACGTACAAACATAATTCTGTCAACTTCCTTTAATTTTTCTTTAAATTTGTTAATACATCTTTTTGGATAAGTAGTACTCCCTCCTCACCTCCCATACAATTAATAACTTTGAAAGCGACCTGCCTAAAATGCTTACATAATTTGGTGAAGCCTTGTTTGGGAATATTTATTTAAACTATACATATTAAAGGTTATTCTTTTAGAAAAGTGTTTCTAAAGTTCTTTATCCCTGTCGCTCAAGGGGAAGAAGTTAAAGAACACGCAGGGAAATTAAACTCTGCAAAATATACCTTAAAAACCAGAGGTACAAAAAACAGGAAAATTGTCCCCATTTGAAGAACAAATTTTCCCCTGCCCTTAGTCAACTAATGAAGTCTTTTTCAAAAAGGGAACCTTCTGAACTCACGCAGCTGCTCAAGAATCTTTAAAAATTCACAGGTGTTTCACATTTCAACAGTTGAAACAGGGAAGATAAAACACTGAGAAGATACTTATCCAACACACTTATATCAGGATTAATTTTTTTCAACCAGCTTCTAAGCGGACTCTCCCTTTCTTTTTAAAAAAATGAATGGCATGAAACTATATCTTGAAGATGTTTCCACAACACCTTACATTTATACAGCGCTTTACAATTTTCAAAGTGCTCTCACATGCCGTCTCATTTAACCCTCACAACATCCCTGCGAGGTAGGTACAGCAGGTATTATCACCCTCACTTCAAAATGAGGGACTAGAGGCAGAGAGAGGTTAAGTGACGTGCCCAGGACCCCACAGCTGAGAAGGGGCCGAGCCAGACCAGAAATCAAGTGCTCCGATTCCTTGTCTGGCACTCCTTCCACTCTAATGACTGCCCCCGATCATGAATAATGTACTGTGTATAAAAATTGAAAGGTTATTAAATTTCAGTGATGTCTTAAATGAGAAATACAAGAACAGTAGGTCTAATGGTTTTACTTTGACATAATAAAATTGGTGCAAAACCACTTTTGTCTAATTACTGATAACCTTTTGGTCCAAATACATAAAATATGCAGTATTTACAGCACTTCCTTTTTTTTGTAAATGCAATGCTTTAAAACACATTATAAAGCACCTTAGTAAAAACAGTCTACAAGTAAAAGTACAGAAGAAGTAGGAAAATCCTACCCATCCCACAGCTCACTAATGGAGTTATAATATAAAGTCACTGACACCTGCTTACAAATAACCCAATGGAGAAACAAATACCAAACTGAGTCTTTAAAATATGAATATGTGGGGGCCTTAACTAAAACTTCAGGCAATGCCAACATTCTTTGAAGTGTGTCCCCAAGCTTAGGTCCTGGGGGAGACAGGAGTGAGACGCTTTGATGCTTTTTATTGTATTAGTGATCGTTTAAATTGGTTCTTAACACTAATGACAATGACTTTTAAAGGAAATTAACATGACCTACATAAATATGGGCAATTCCGACTACAGTAGAGACATTTCCTAGCGAACAGGATGAAACATTCCAAGAAATGCCATGAGGCACGACTCACAAGGTTGAAGCGCACACTGCCCGACAGCTAACAACACTATTCGGTGGCACCGGGGAAGGCAAAGTCGCAGGTGTTCTCCTTCATTCATGGTTAGCTGAAAAAATGCTGTTATCAAAAACAGAACTATCAGAACTTTTTCTGAAATTATATGTAGCCTTTTGATTAGAACCGCTATAGGTTTATTTTAGGCAGCAGGTTGTAACTCCCACCAAAATTTAACCAGGAAAAACAAAAAGCGCCCGAAACCCAAACTTCTCGGACGCCGACACAGCAGCCAGCACCTGCTTCTTCGAGGTCACTGTCCGTTTGCTAACTCGGCTCAACGGGAACGGCCTCACACAGTCCAGGCTGTGGAGCCGAGAACTAAGGTGAAGACAGGGTCAAAGTTCTCGTTCAAAAATCCAACCCTCACACCCTGTCCTCAGTTCGACTTAGGGTAAATCTTTTCATAAAAAAAGTTTTGTGCGAGGATGTAGAGGTCTCCGTCTTTCTCTCGCACGGCGTGGGCTCTGACGAACTGGAACTGCTCCAGGGCAAACTCGTAGAACTCGTTCTCCATTTTCCAAATGTCGGACTGCTGCAGTTTGGCAATGGTTTGCTTCGTCGGGAGCTTCTTCTCTGTGGTTTTCCTAAGATGAGATTTCTTTCCTACTTACAAACGAAAAAAAGAAAGGGTAAGTAATTCTGAGAACACATAAAAGGCCAACGCCTCTTATTGGAATAGATGGTTTAAGGACAGGAAACATAATTGTTTTATATTATTATCGCTGGGGCCAAAGTCAGTGCCCTGATCATACTGCAACTGTGATTTACTCCTTTGTAATGTAAATCCTTAACCTGTTCAACACTTAATGAGTTGTCAGATAGTAAAAGTAAGAACTGCCAATCAGAGAAGCGGAGGCTGTCACAGCACATGCTGTGTTCTCAAGTGCTCTGACTAGTTCACTTTTGAAAATATGACAAAGTATCTACCTTCAATCTTAATACTAATTCCTCATTACTTATACTCCATGTAATTCACCGTTAGAAACCAGGACCAGCACAGTCACCTTGCGGTACAAAGCACTGTCGGGAGGACCGTAGGAGACACAGCACGTGATGATCACCATCGAAGGGACTGGGTCCTCCTATGCACCTCTACTCTGAATGCCACTAAGCATAATGAGGATGGAATGCAGTCACAGTGTTTAGGATCCAGAATTATTAAATATTATACATTTCTAAGACTGGTTCTGTAGTTTATTTCCACTATTCCTACAATGCCTTCTAATTATCATCTAATACATGTTTATTCATTCAAAAAATATTTACTAAACACCATCAGTATGCCAGGAATTGTTTTGTTTTGAAAATGGTGAGGGGACACAGGAGTATATCTGCCTTTCTGGAGTTATTTCTTGTACTTTACTCAAGAAACTTCAAATCACACATATTTTTCAATTTTCAAATAAAGTTCAAGACAGCTTTAAAAAGAAACCTATCGTTTATATACCTGTACGGTAGAGTTCTGTAGCACCCCTGAAGAACCGGGGCAAAGCTGCCTCCAGTAGCATGATAAAGTCTTCAAGCTCTTCAGTAACTCCCACCAGAAAGTATTCATTGACTAGGTTATACTTGGCTTGATCCATAGCCCACCTGCTTCCCACATTCCTAAAACCAAGAAAAGACATTAAGGACTTGATGCCTTTGCCACTGTATATCAATGGAAAAAAAACAGACAAACACATGTCTGACCAAAGCCTTAACCTCTTTTATAAATGTCCTCTGGGAGGCACATGTGTTTTCAACTTCCTCTGCCTTCTATTCCCAATTTCTGCTCAACTGCGCACTGCTAATTCAGACTTTACAGTTAGCTTAAAATTAACAAAGTTTAGTTTGAGGGCAGATATATATATATATAGTGTCAGTGTATTTAATTTTTTAAAACTACACTTTGTTCCCTTTAAAAACTCTCTCGTAAGGTCTGAGTACCTGTGTGTAGTGCTAATCTTAATTTCACTTGTGAGCTGGGTTTTCTCCTCTCGTTTCTGAGGAACAGAAGGAAGAGAATAAATGGCTCTGCCAGGAATCTTTGATTTCTTACACTGTCAGCCAATGGCTGTTAATGGAGATTCGGCTCTAAATAAACTGTACTTTTCCATTCTTTTCAGCACTGACATTCCCTAACCATAATTTCAGCTCTGATTTTAAGCAGCGTGATATTGAGCTGGTGACTTTGTCTTTCTTTGTTTCTTCAGCATTAAAAGGCCGTGGTGAGGCACAGGGTAGAATAAATGTGTTTATTCCTTAAGCTCTCTCCCAGTTCTACACATCTGTGAAACACATTTACGATATTCAGTCGTAATCTCCTCACTCATGCCCGGCAGAGCAATACTCTTTATTCTAAGGCGAAGGTTGCAAACTTTCTACAAAAGGCCAGAGGGAAAATGTCCTAGGTTTTGCAGGACATGAGGTCTTGCAGCATGGAAACAGCCCTAGACAGTAAGTAAACAAAGGAACGTGGCTTGTGTTCCAATAAACTTTATGAAAACAGGTAATGGGCTAAATTTAGTCTCCAGGTTGTAATTTGCCACTCCCTTGTTCTACAGAAATGGTTAAAAATTAAGACATTCTTCTTATGCTTTCAATTATTATTAAACTATTAATTATACTTTTACATAATATATTGTATAGGATTTTAAAGTTAACAGTATTTAAATATCTCAAATAACGAAGAAAAGAACAGAAGACATCCCTTGTATCTCCTGATGGTTTTTAAGAAAAGATAGTAACTTTCCATGTGTTCCTGTTTTTTAACTTTTCCTATTAAAATTATTAATTAGATCAAATGACAACATACCATTATTTTTAGAAACTGAAAACTCAGCACATTCTGAGAAAACACACCCTATAAAAGATAACATATCTTTATTTTCCACTTCATGTTTATTAGCAGACAAAACCATAACCATAACCTTCTCTCAAAGTCAAAGCCAGTTGAACAGTAAAACCAGTTGAGCAGTAAAACCAGGTGAGGAATTTACCCAGCAGGACAAAAGTCCTGCTTTATCTAACGTGAACGGTTAAAACAGTAAGCTCAGGGGGAAATGAGGTTTATAAAATGACCACTGACCTCTAATTAAGAGCTCTGCTGGAATACAGCAAAACATGTAACACTAAAAACCAACCAACCAACCAACCAACAAAAGATCAAAAACCAGCATCTGAGAAAACACTGCAAGATTATTATACATAAAGAATCCTTTTAGTGCACTTAAAGGTAACCACAAAACTAGGTATTACTTAACCACATGCTATGCTTAGTCTGGTCTTTCACTAATTTCCTTATACCTAACCCTTGGCTACCACATCACATTCTCCAAATAGAGATCATAGAGATAATTTACACTTAGAGAAACCCAGATTATAGAAACAATCAACTTCAGCCAACTTCATCTCCCTACCAGCATTCCGAGCTGTGTCCGCAGAAGAAGGGGATTTGAAGCCAGAGCTTCTCTGGAGCGCAGTCTGAGCCGCCCTCTGCTACGCATTCATCAAAGGTCTGGAACAAGACAGCACATGTGAGCCAGTCTCACCTACAAATACCTTAATGTATTAAGTTATCAAGTAAATGAGTGGTTGTGGTTACTCATCACCGAGTTACCGAGTTAAAGGGATGCGCAGGTTATGAACACATACCTGAGATACCGAGGAAAGTTAAACATGGATTTTTCTCACATCTTTGTTTTATGCCAATGTTTATAACAGTTCTTTCACTATGTGAATGGAAACCCCCCAGGTAAATCTTTCCCTTGAAAATAAGTACTGGTTTGTGTTAAATTTGTGTATTTATACTTTCTAACTCCTAGTACTAAAGGGAAATTAAATAAAAACAAGGCTAAAGGTACTATCGCTTCTTTAGAATCATTTGAAAAAATATATAAGGCAGGACTACGTTTAAGTCTTTTTTCCTTTTCTCATTAAAATAAACATAAAAAAATCATTGTACAAAGCAGAAATGACTTCAGATACTTAAGACTTGTATGCCTTCCTGTCCAAATGCATCTGACTGAAATAATTAAAAGGGAAAGAGACTCACAGCTTATGTACGTAAAATCATTCAATGTCACTTTCTTGGGTACTTACTGTCCAGCATGGGCACTGTGCATGCAGCAGGCATTACCTCTCTGAAATGATATGATACCGAGACACAGAACCAACTCGGGAGCTGTGCTTGCCGCAGTGAGACTACAAACACTGCCTGTCGTTTCTGAGAAGAGGAAGGAGGGAGAGGAAGAGGAAGGAGTAGAAAGAGGACTCGGCTGCAGTAAAGGTTCCTGAGTGTCTACATCCAGGTTCCTTCGTTTCAGAAGCTGAGCATCTACTCTAATTCACCTACCAAATGTTTTAACAGACGATATGAAAGTAGACAATAGTTTGGGTTTTCGGTTCCTTTATGGTTCCTTCTTATTATCTGGAGGAGGTGTCACTCCTATCAACTAAAGGAAACAACCCAAAGATGGCAAAGAAGTTGTGGAGGGGAAAAAACTATGAATAATCAAAAACTGGTGAACATACAGGTGTGTGTGTGTCAGACCACAGCATATAACAGAAATTCTCCCATTTATATCTAAATGTGCGAATAGAATAAACCAAGTACTCCCCATTGAAACCAAATTAAGACAATTCAATGCCATTTTTACTACATTCAGCTTGATAACCAATCCACTGAGACCCTAAGGTGGACTGCTGGGCTGACTCCAACAACCAATCAGCACTCGGGCTTCTCCGTTCACCACAGAAAACCGTCCCTCGAATGCCTGGTCACGAAAGTTCCCTGCTGATTTGCTAACTTCCATTAGCTTTCTCCTTACATATTGGCCACATTTCAGAAATAGGATTTTCTACAAATATTTTTCTCTTATAAAACTTCGAGCTCTTGAAATAAAAAGCAAAAATAAATGAAATAAAAACACTATGGACTCTTCCTTACCTACAAAATCACCTGAGAAACAAAAAGTTATGATGAGCTTTTTCACTCAAAAACCATTTATGGTTTGTCCTGACCAGTGTGGCTCGGCTAGGCACCATCCGCAGAGTGAAAGGTTCCCAGCTCGATTCCCGGTCGGGGCACATGCCTGGGCTGTGCATTTGGTCCCTGGTTGGGGTGCATGAGAGGCAACCAATCAACGTTTCTCTCTCACATCAATGTGTCTCTTTCTCCCTCCCTTCACTTCTCTCTAAAAATGAAATCTTTTTAGAAAGCCATTTATAGTTTTTAGAAAGAGCAATTCTTTGTGAACTAGACACAAATGTTTTTAAAAGCATGAAATATCAAAATATTCAAGACCATTTAGATAATTAGTTTAGATATTTAACTACTAAAATCGAAGTTTAAAAGAATTAAACAGATGTTTGATAGCAATGGCAATTATATTTGCATTAAACCCTCTTCTGCAAATGATTTTGCTTCATACTTTATACAGAGAACTGATACTAAGCATGATCTCTCTCAACTTCCTGCTTCGATAAAAGTTTATCTGCATCTATAATCCTACCACCCTCATATTTAATGAGACATTTCCTTCCCCTATCTTTCAACACCATTCTTACCCCCTTCCGAGACCCCGCTCCACCAATTTCTCTCTGGCTCCTTGCATGATCACCCCTTGCTGTCTTCAGATATATTAATATGCCCAAGTGTCTGTCATCTTAAAGAAACACTTTCTGACTTTTTGTTGTTGTTGTTCCTTTCAAAGCCAACTTCTATTTGAAGAGCAGTCTTTCCTCAGGGTTGGTCTTAACTTATCTCTCAGTTGCTTCTCAACCCTTTGGATTCCATCTGAACTCCTTTCTCTAACATCCCTCATGAACCTGCCATTGATGAATCCAAGGGGCGGATTTCAATCCTCAATTCACTGAACTTTTTGCAACTGAAATTATTATCCTGCCTATTTCAAGGACTTGCCTGGTTTGTCTTCTCATTTTGACAGCAGCCTCCTTGGCATGCTACTCTTTATCTGCCTGCTCTTTAATGGTGGCATTGCCCAGAGTTACATATCTGCACCCCCTCTTTTTCTCCTTCCTTTTAAATCATTTGGTCTTCTTGTCAAATTCTACATGTCTTCCAAGTGCAATTTCATTCAATCCCTTGTTTTGGCTTCCACCTAATGTGGATGACTCTCAAATCTATGATTCAGTCAGACCTATTTTTTGAGGTACGAATACAATTTCTAGTTGATACTTCCATCTTCTTATACATGACTAAAAATATTGTCCATTTTCATCTCCTTCACCTCCATTACAACTGACTTTCTTCTGATTTCTCTCTTCTAGTGAAAGGAACTGCCTATGGTCCAATCAGAAACTTGGGAAGGACATAGGTCAAGGCTGACTCTGGTCACATACCTTTTACTGATTAGAGAAAACTGGTCTACAATGAAGTAAGCAAACCTGTAAATATGTCAATTGCAAAGATATTATATCGCTTTCCTGCAGTGTTTTTTACATATAAAATACTTTCTAAGCAAAGAGTAAGTTCTTAAATGCCTTTGTGAGACAGAATGGTAAAATTCAAGTTTGATACACAAACCACTGTCAGGGAAGTGTGACTGCCAAGGACTTGAAGACAGGATTTTGTAAGTCAGTGGTAAAACCAGGAAGTGCTAAGTATGAATTCCTTCTGGCTTTATTTACTATCTTTTATAAATTAAAAAATATGTATTTTAGGTTCATTATAATTCCTCTAGCTGTTGATAAGCCTATTAATTTAAAGAAATACAAAAAGCAAATTGGGGTAGGAACTGGATCTCTGGGACTAAACGGATCCTTCTTTAGACTGTTACTGAGAGCAAGTAACTACCACATTTTTCAGACTATAAGACGCCCCCCCCCCCGATTTGGGAGGAATAATGGTTGTTAATGCTGCTGTTGAGTTCTGTTTACATTTACAATGGGGAAATACTATGTTATTTATGTTATTAAATATTTTACCACATTTTTTGCTTCAAAAAATTTTCCCCCTCTAAAACCTACGTGCGTCTTATGGTCCAAAATGCGGTAATCACTCTTTCCATAAGTATTAACCCTCTTGATGTTCTGTTAATAAAATAATTAACAAAAAGTTTAATAATTTATAAGGCAGCATAAAGTTAAGATCATGCAAAATAAATATTTACATATTTAGAAAATGTGAACGATAACATTTGTCGGTGCAGTTAATGTTTTCTGGGAGCCACTAAGAAGACCAATGATGGACATTTCCCCAAAATGAGCAAAGTGTGCTGCCTGTTGTTTGAAAGAAAACAGCTGACGGTGTTAGTAGCCCAGCAGTTCTCAACTGGAGCCATCTGGACCTGCAGACGACATTTAGCAACGTTGAAAGACGTTTGTAGTTCTTATGACTGAGGTATGTGTGGGAAGGATGTTACTGGGTAGAGGTCAGAGATGCTGGTAAACATCCGACAATTATAGGCAACCCACCCCCCAACAAAGAATTATCTGGCCCAAAGTAACAACAACAACAACAGTATCAAGGTTGAGAAACCCTGTGGTAGCCAGTGAACAAAGTTTTCAAGCAAAAATATAAAATTTGGAAAACTTGACCAGTCGCCATAAGCTTGACTCTTTCTCAATATGTAAAGAGTTTTCTGATGAGATAAATGGTGATGTTAATGAATGTGAATTTTAGATATTATATAACAAAATGTGTCAGCATTTGGAAGGTCCACATAGTCAGTTAACTAATATGACCCGAGTGACCAATGCATGATGTTTCTAAACTATGCTTGGTTAAAAATCCATTCAAAGTGTAAATTACATCAACGGATGTTAATGTAGCGCAGCATACTGAATTCACTGCTACGGCTTCAGATGTTACACTTCAGCAACTTCAAGATACCAGTACTTGTCTAGTTTTAATGTAGTATTAAAGAAGATTATCCACGATATTCTGAAAAGGCTATTGAAATTCTCCCTTTTCCAATTACACACCTGTGTAAAGCCAGATTTTTCTTTATATACTTCAACCAAAAGAACTGATTAAATTAAATGGATTCAGAAGCAGATATGAAAATTCAGCTCTCTTATTTTAAGCTAGATATTTGTTAAACTTGCAAAAGTATAAGGCCACACTTTTTATGTTTGTTTGAAAATGGTCATTTGCATAAAAATATTAATGTTACCAATATGATGGGTTTCCTATTGTTATTTTTAATTAATTAATATTTTCAAAAGCTCTCAATTATTGGTAAATTACTGATATTATAAAGTATCAGTAGATATAACCTACATAAACTAAAGCTCTTAGGTGGTCATCAATAATTTTCTTAATAGTAAAAGGAGCTCCAAGACTAAAATGTTTAAGAACCACTGATTTATCTGTATAGTTCTTCAATGCTGACCGTTGGATTATTTAATATCCCTATTTTCCAAGTACTGAGAGTAAATTAAGTAGAATTCTAATTATAAAATATAAAAAACAGAGTATTTGAAATCTCCCTCAATGAAATAAATTCTGTGTTCTTTACAAGAGCACCTTACAAGGTACACGTGCCTAAAATGGATTTGTGTGAAGTGTAAACATGAAGCAGTTCAGTACTGCAGTTTAAAAGCATAATAGTTGCCACGAGTGCTGAACTGAATATAATCTGATCCATTTCAAACTATTACTTGAGGTGCAAATATACAATTTCATGGAAATGAAACCATTGCAAGGTATTTCCTACATTATTATAGCCATGGTTTAATCCCCATTTATCTTTCATTTTCAAAACATTAACCCTGTCATTTTCAAAAATGTAATATGCCATGCAGTCTTATCAACACTATAAATGTGAATTTATTAATGAAAACTCTTTCAAGTTAAAGATATTAAGGAATTACCTGAAATAAAACAAATCATTTAACTCATTGGGTCCCAGAATATTACCAACATTTGTGTCAAGAGAAAAAAAGTCAAATTGATAAAAATGTGTGTATCTCAATATAAAATCAAAACGGTCCACTTTGTCACAAAACAAAGGAATTTTTCACTTTAATGAAGCATCTGTAGATGGCTCTGTCTTCCTAAGAATTAAGGTAACACAATGGTATTTTGCTGATATTACTAATATTACATCTGAATAAATAGGTGTATTAATATGTATTTTATAATGACATTAAAACCTTGTTACCATCAGGGTGAAGAATGGTTAAAAGAACCTCTCCGCCTAAAACTTTCTAATGTAAAAGAGAAATTATGTGAAAATATCTGCTTCTGGGTATTGAACACACAAATTTGGATTACCTCTCATATAAAAATGTTGAGTAGCATGTTGCATCTCCTCCCTCCTTTTTAAAGGACATGGAGGGGTTAAAACTGTGAGGTCTGGAGTTAGAGTCATTGAGTTTAAATACCAGCTAACACTGAGCAAGATACTTAAACTTTCTGTGCCTCAGCTTCCCGATCTGTAAAATGGAGACAGTAACAGCAGCAACCACATAGAATTGCTGTACAGACTACCTGAAAAATATTTACCTATAGGTCTTTTGGAGAAGACCTATATGTAAACAAATAACTCAAATATATAATAATAAATGCTTGGAAAGAGATCTGAACGGTGTGCCCTGGGAGCCCTGAACGGGACGTGCTCACTGCCTGGGCAGACCAGAAAAGACTTCAAGGGAGAGCTGGACCTTAGAGGTGGACAAAATCTTCCAGAGTGAAGGAAAGAAATGACAAACATTGGGAACAACACATGCACAGAAAAGAGAAGGTGATGAGTCTGGAGGACAGAGACATCTCACGTGGCTGAGGCGCTGTGTGCCTGAAAGAAATGAGGCAGGTCTCAGACTGTGTCCGCCCATGTCTCCCGCGCCTTAGGCAATCCCGCGAGCAGTGAGGTTCCCGTAAAGGTGTTCCACCAGAAAACTTGACTGATCAGTTTGATTTTTCAGAAAAACTACTCTGGCGCTTCTATGGGGGGTGCACATAAATAGCAGAGAGACCAATACTACACCTGCTAAGTAAGAGCTCTGTTGTCAAGTCACTATTCTTTTCTTGAGAACAGTTGCTTTAGCAAAGTAGTGTCTAAAACTCATGATCCTCCAGACTAAACACCAAAGTGCACACACAATTACATCATATTAATGAACAGTGTAATGGTCTCATAGAATGTTGTTAATAATATAACAACCATAATAAAACAATGTTCAGCCCTAAACATAAGTGAAATATTTTTCAATGAGAAAAAATTATGTGTACTCTAAAATATCAAGTATAAAGTAGTTTTAATTTTGCTTTTATATTTTTGAGCTCTTTTCAAAATGTCCACAATAAGCAAGTAGTATATTTATAATCAGTAAATTTTAAAAGCACATTGTTCAGTGCACTTCATAAACAATTCTTTTTACAAAAATATTTAAAATATTTTTACTAAAATATTACCTTTTTGTCTCCTTGTTTTCGTCTTCTTAACCCTGGTCTATAATCATCTCCAAATCTCAGAAAGTAATAGTACGAAACTAGCCTCTCAATGGGATCCCTTATGACATTAATGTAAATGGGCTTCTTTTTTACACCGAATCTGAAATAAAGCCAAAGTTAAAAGGTGAAATCAACATTTTCACTTTACATAGTAGTACCCTGAAATTATAAGTTTAAGCTATTCATTCTCTATGAAAAGAACATGAATTAATTTAATAATAGACTATGCAGAGATTAGAAAATATTTTATGATTATTTATGTTACAATATAGTAAATAAATAGGAATTTAAAAATCACAGTTGAAGAAAAGGAGGAAAAATTAAATGAAAAATAATTTAAAATTCTACTTACAAAATTACATAAAACATTTGAATTTTATGTAGCAATGATTTTTAAATTTCTGGCCCACCAAACTAGATAAATGTTACCATGGATACAGCACAAGCCCGATCAAGCAAGGCCCTTTGAGTCAGCTTTCTACTGTCGCCGATGTTAAAGACAAGACAGAAGTGAAAGACACTATGCTTTCAGCATTACTTCCTCATGGAATGAACTGAAGGGACTTTTACATTACCAACCTTTGCATACTCTATAACTGTCTCCCAATTTTAATTGTCCTCGTCTTGAAATCTTACCCTGACCTTCCTTTACTTTTCCTTTAGTACAGTTACCAAGTCCTTCGATTTTTTACGGATTTGGCCTTTTTTTGTGGACGATTCTGTTACTCTTCATCGTTGCCCTTTCTCTGTGTCTCTTGCTTAGAATACTGCAATAACCTAGTTGGTTTTCTTACACCCAGTCTCTCTCCCTTTCGAACTACCTTCCATACCAATTCTCAACTGATACTCTTAAAACACACTTGTTAGATCACCCCTCTTAAAAAATGTTAATAACTCTATGATGTATGTTGACATCAAACCCAAACTCCTTTGTCTAGCTGTTGACATCTCTTTGCCTTATATCTTAGGTAGCGCCTTACTGATATAACTCTATTTTCAAGTAAGAGAACATCAGTCTCTTAGAGTGCGGCCTGCCTCTTCTCCTCCTCTGTATCGTACTTCTTTCTGTTTCTTCTTATATGCCTTTGCTCACTGCCTTTCTTAACTATAACGCCATCCTTATTTTTCTATTACATAAATTCATTCAAAAAATGCTTTTCTGTGTACCTTATATATGCCATGGACTATGCTAATACTAGGGATATAGCAGTAAAGAAAATCCCTTGTCCTCTGCAGCTAACATTCTACTTGGGAGGGACAATATAAACAAGTAAATTAGCAAATATGTCAGATGGCAAAAAGTACTAAGGAGAAAAACGATGCAGTGAAATGGAACAGGGACTGCCAGGAGAGGTGGGGAGAGGACAATTCAAGAAAGGTTTTTCCAGGAAGACATCACTGGTGTTACGTGATGATAAGGGCGCCACGTAGATACCTGAAGGAAAGTGTTCCAGGAAGAGGAGACTTCCAAGTACAAAGGCTCTGAAGCAGCAAGAACCAGGCATTTCTGAGGAATACCAAGGAGATTGATGTGGGTGCAGCAGAATCACAAAGGAGATGTTAACAGAGTGTGAAAACAGAGAGATGGGGGGAGGGGCAGTGGAAGAGCAGATCATGCAGGTCTTGAAGGCCATTCCAGGAATCAGGAGGGAGGCTGACTGGACTGAGTCACGACACTAAACGTAATGTATAGCATAATGCCCATGGTTCACAATATCTTACAATATAACTGAAAGTTGCTATGAAAGTTAATTTTAAACATTCTCACAACAATAAGAAAAAGGTAACGATATGAGGTGAAGGATGCATTAACTAACCTTATTGAGGCAAACATTTCACATCTAGCAAATCATCACACCGTATACCTTAACTAATTTTATATGTCAACTATATCTCAATAAAGCTGGGGCCGGAGGGGCCCTGGCTGCTCTTTGGGAAGAAACTGTACAGGACAGCGAGGGAATCTTGCGATGTCTAGAAGCTGTCCTGATGGCTCCGGCATACCGTGCTATGTGCTTTCATTTCTCAGCGGTACCCAGGAGCGACTGCTATCAAAAGGCCCTGTCTTGCAGCTTGTCTACTAAATATTTCTCCCCAACATCATGATAAGCCATTTGAGGGTAGGCCCAGTACCTTACTCTTTTATATTTTATAGAGCCTAGTATACACGAATACTTGCCTACTGATTAGTATTATTTAGAAAGATTAGAAACATTAGCAATCTCTCTCAAAATGAGAAACACAATGAGATGATGAAATTGAGCCTAAGTTGTATGACTTGGAGTACAAGGCCATGACAGTTGCTTCTTCTTTTAACCGGTCTTGATATACTCACTCATCTGCCTACAGAAACCCTCAATTCAGCTAATAACTTCAATTTCCCTCCCTACTAAAATCTTTTCCCAAAGGCACTAAGAAAGCATAGAGCTAAACTAATCGGTTTCCTATTTTCCTGCCTACTACAATCGATGTCTTGCACACGAACGGCACTCTACAGATGTTTTATACTAAATTCTTAAGTAGATGAGCAGTGGAAAGAGACCACAGAAGAGAAAGGGCAAGGAGCCCAGGTAACCTGATGAGTTCAGCAGACTACTGCAAGTTAACTGAACAGGAAGTTTCCGACTTACAAACAGGCTGTATTCTGGAAGAACTGCTTTGTGGGTAGTAAAGGGGGGTCTGCTCTCTTGAATTCTAGTCCTTTTCTCACCGTTAAGTAGCACTAAGTCAGTAAATTCTTTGTACATGGGGAAATACTGAAAACTACAGAGAATCCTTTTACAAAACATTATTATAACAGTTATGAGTTGGTTGATTAGAACTTGGTATGTATTTTTTCATTGAACAGCTCGTAAGCTATAAAACCAACAGTGCAATATAACTTTTCACAATTTTTTAAAAGAGGAAATAGTACTGCTGCAAATATATGGCACTGTCACATTGGGTGTGAGAGCAGAAGTTCCATGAGGTTAGGGATTGCTTCCCTCTTGTCCGTGGCTTTGGCACTATTGTTCAGTGTGGTGCTGGACACACAGGTGTCAAATATCAGTAGAATTAGGCTGAACAGATAGTTGTGAATTAGCCACTTACACAGCCTTTCTGTGGGAGAATGTACTCCGTACTGAGAAGAAGGGAGAGAGGCATCAGGAACACCTACTTTGCTACCTTAACTGGGAGAGCTGAAACTATAGGGAGGAAAAGCACCGACTGTTGGGCAATGACTCTGTTCTTAAAACTGGGATTCCTTGGGAACCACCTTTAATTTCTCCATTATTAGCTACTGACCAGCCCTGACATTCCCTTGGGAATTAGCTTCTCCCAGAAGACCACCTCCCACCACACTTCCTCTTTCTTCCTTTCCCTGGTTCCTAGCACGTAAGAAACGACAGCAATTCTTAACAAATGGCACTTTATAAAACTCTGCTTGCTGTTGAGAAAATGACTTTCTGGGGCATGGTTTGGGTGACAAGTATATGTATGATTTTAATGAGATAATGTGTGAACTTATTCTGAAATTATTATTTGTTAGAGTATGCTATAGAGACATGGAAGCAAATGATTATAAACTAAAATAGGCATGACAAAAATAGTATCTGGGTCATTCAGCTCAGCCGGTTAGAAAACAAGCATCCTTTTAGGTTTGTAGGTTTAATTCTTTTGCTAACCAGGTGGTTTTGTAGAGGAGGAAAACTATGTTCTGTGGTCACTGACCCCACCTTTAACCCTGGCCAATCTTCTGAACTGCTCCTCACAAGGGCTCAGGTAGAAGAGGAGAAAACCTATCTTCATTCCAGGAAAATAAACTACTATTGCTCTGTTAGAACATGATCTTCCTGGGAAGAGAGGAGCATATTTGTTAAGAATGTAGGATTTACATAAGGATCAAAAGGGGGAAAGTATAATCCAAGCAGCAGGTTAGTAAAGACATTTAAGGAACCTTATTCTTACCACGTCAGCATATGTGGTATGACAAAACAAGAAACACAAACAAGGCTCATTTCTTTACAACCACAGTCTTATGTATAATTTGGATGGATGAATGAACACCAATATTGGTTCAAAGAAGAAGCGCATACTCAGAACATCTGAAGGGAACCTTGTCAACTTGCTAGAGAAACCTAAACAGAAGATGATAAAGCTGAAAGAGGGCTGAAAAGCCTTTGGGAAGCCTATGCTTTGAGATTTCTGCTGTATATTATTTAGCATCTTTCTTTAGTTAAATTGCAGTTTCATTGGGGACATGGATATCTTATACATACTCATATTTATTCTGGACACTCTGGGCCCAAAAAGGTTCAAAGGAACTTCCGTATCCTTCTAGTGACAAGTTCCCATTGTCTCGCTTCAAAAATAGAGAATGACCTGTTGGTATATGTTGGTCCCACTAATGATAATGTTGTGAATAAGTGATTTTTAAAAGTAATTATTTATCTCTTAAAATGGGCATCCATCCACCACAAATATATTAGAATGGCCCCAATTTTTTAAAGGTCTAACAATACCATATGCTGGCAAAGATGCATGGCAACTGGAACTCTCATAAACTGTTGGTGACACTGCAAAATAATACAGCCACTTGGAAAAACATTTTGGCAGCATCTTACCAAGTTACCATGCACCCCAGCAATCCCACTTCTAGGTTTTACCAAGGAGAGGGTAGCACATAAATGTGCACACAAGACCTGCAGGCCAATGTTTCGGCAGCTTTACTAACGATCACCAAAAGCCAGAAATAACCCGAATATCCAGAAACTGCTGAATGGTAGGAATTATGGTGCATCAGTACAGCGGAATACTGCCCAGTAGGGAACTAGCTACTGACACACACGCAGAGAATGAGATAAATGTCAGCAGCACCGTGCGAGTGAAAGGAGCCTGACTCGTAAGACGTGGCGATTAATTAGACATGTGGTGGAGAAAAGGGTTGTTAGAGATGACTCTAATTTCTTGCTTGGAAGTCTTAATAAATAAAAATGGGTAAACTTCCCCCAAAAGAATAATGAAGACAAAGACAGAGTCTTGAGCGATGCCTTAATAAGAGTTTGAGCCCTGTCTGGTGTGTCTCAGTGGTTTGAGTGCCTGCCTGCCAACCAAAGGGTCACTGGTTCAATTCCCAGTCAGGGCACATGCCTGGGTTGCAGGCCAAGTCCCCAGTGGGGGATGCATGAGAGGCAACCACGCAATGATGTTTCACTCCCTCTCTCTCTCCCTCCCTTCCCCTCTGTCTAAAAATAAAAATAAATATCTTAAAAAAAAAAAAGAGTTTGAAATAAGAAAGCCCAGCAGGTTCTAGGGCAAGAAATCGCAAACACCAAGACAACATGGTAACTGAAAGAAGAGACAGAAGTGCAAAAGAACAAAACACAGCTCCGTGTGAGACACAACCAAGTGCATCGCATACACCGCAGTACGGTATTTCACCTTCACAACCGCCCATGAAGCAGCTGCACTAACTATCCTTGTTTTTATAAGAGGGAAACTGAAGGTACTGTAGCTGAGACACAGAGCTGGTAAGGAACTGTGTAGACTGAACTGCAGATCTGACTTCCGAGACCGCTCCTGTTTACAGCCTATGGGATCACTGCTGTACAAAGAGCTGGCAGTACAAAGTCAATAAACATGCAGCTCTCATGTACTGCCTGTAATGATTAAAATTATTTTTTAAAAGTTTCTCCAGGGTTATGACATATATGTTGAAAGTTGTAGAAAATGGTGCAAACTTCAGTTAGTTCAGAGAAGTACAAGAGACACTCTCATATGAATCTATATACTAACGAACTCTATTTGGGCCTAAAATAGTCACTTGATTACTCTCTAGGATATTTCAGACTAGTGAAGCATTCAGTTATTCATTTCTTATCCTGATATATTTGCCTTTTTACTGATTCACTGCAATTGTTCTGCAAGAGACAACAGGGGTGATACGGAGAAACCAAATGATGGTGATGAAAACCCACGTTTCTTCCTGGGGACACGCCAATGTCTATGTTTTAATAAAAGTGGCTGCTGTATCAAATTAAGTGTCCAAAGTCTTTCTAAAACAGCTGCTGGCTTGGGACCCCTAGGTCACTAGATTATAAAAAAAAATCTCAAGAATGTCTGATAAAAAACAGCATTTAAACTGTTTTCTATCAGATAAACATTATTCATTATAAAGAAAAATGTTACTGAAAGGTTTCTGAAACCTCATTTGGCATCATTTGAAGAAAACCAAAGTGGGGTTCATAGATGCTGCTGATCAATGAACAGTATGAATTTTAAAAGGAGGGTAAGCTCTAATGTTTTCACCCTTTACAAAGAGTGAAACTAGAGATGAATAATGCTTGTTCTGACCTGGTAACTATAGAAGAAATGAACTGGTAATTATAGAAAAAAAATGGAACTGCAACTTATTTAATTTTCTATTGCCAGTACCCTGGGACATTTGGGAAATGTTCAACCTATACAATTTTTAACTGAAAAACTTATAAATTTATGACATTAATTTATCATACTTACATTATTATAAAATTGTGTTGTCCACCAATTAAAAACAAAATAGTCATTGAACATTAAAAAGAAAAATGGAAAAGAAGAACGAGAAAATGTGCTTTAAAAAATCAAGAATCGGATTAGGACAAAAAAGAGCAGTCAGGAATTACATGAATATGTAACAAGAAGATACTTTTTATATTATTCCAACATCCTGAATGAAACCAGGTAAATATAACCCAAACACGAATTACGCAGAAACAGGCCTGCAAATTAAATGAGCAGTTCTCAGTAATCGGTCTAAATGAAAAAGCACTTCTCATTTTTTATTTCGCTATCTTATTTCCTGGGTTTACACTCTTTAGTGTCTCTACTAAGGCAATTAAAAAGCTATGTAATTACATATTTCTTTCACCAAATTCGACTGTTTTCTAGTGCAGGCAAGTGTCTTAATGGACTCCACAAGGTCCTACGCCACTCGAGGGTATGTTTTGAAGACTACAGTACTTTAAAGTTTTGTAAGGTGTTTCCTTCTTCTTCCTCATTCATGGTGAGTGTGGCTATCCAACTGAAAATTACTTTACATGATACTTAGTTATATCTACAATAGTTCTTGACTACATATATCAAAATATATTTCCTCTGGTTGATTTTTTAGGTACTTGTTTAAAACTCTTCTAAAAGTCTATTAAAATTCTTACAATACTTTTCAATTCCAATAACATGAAACGCATTATGAAAATATTCAAACCCTTAAACGTTCATGTTTGTATTTAATAAATGAGATTAATTTTTTTCAAGGAACTTTACAGCTTTTCAAATGCAAGAACTCCACCATATATCATAAGAGTTTTGTTCTAAGTACAAGACTTTTGCCAAAAGCAAAAGTACTCTATTATTTTAATAATGAAAACCTCAAGTATTAGAAACCAAGCTCTGTGTGGAAGAAATAAATCATTTAGGTGAAAGGGTAACAAACATTCAACTGAAGGATAATGCAGCCTCGAGGGGGAATATGCATATGAATGAAGTTTATGAAATTGGTTCAATGCCTCTGCAAAGAAAAAATAATTAGTTTATTTTAAAGATGCCTATAAAATGTTTTCAATATTGCAATATGAATTATTTATAGAAAAATGCACATCTAACTTTGGAACTACCATTTTACTGAACATCTTGAATACCATGAGAAAAACTAGAAATAAGAATATATTGTTTTGTATATGCAACATTTGGGAGACTCTTTTTTAGTTATGTGCTTTTCAAAAAAAGGTAAGACTGCCCTGGCTGGTGTCGCTCAGCGGACTGAGCACGGGCCTGTGAAGCAAAGGGTTGCCAGTTCAACTCCCAGTCAGGGCACACGCCTGGGTTGCAGGCCAGGTCCCCAGTGGGGGGTGGGGGGGGCAAGCAACCACACACTGATGTTTCTCTCCCTCTGTTTCTCCCTCCCTTCCCCTCTGTCTAAAAAATAAATAAATAAAATATTAAGAAAAAAAATAAAAAAAGGTAAGACTTACTATCAATCTGAATCAATAACATTTCATTCAATATTTTCTTAAAATTAAATTGACAGCAGGATATCAATTTAATTTTTAAATTTTACCCAAAATGCTCCTTAAAGCTGACAAATGTATAATTTTGAAGTTATGACTGCTTCTGAAAAGACTGAGCAAAGACATCTATGCTTAAATAATTTTTAAATATATTTTTCACGTTTCTGAAGCTGGTGCAGAGTATTATTAGGGAAAGGATTTGGATTTGGAGTTTTACTATAATAGTACCCTACAGTACTCAAGTGGGATTCACAAGCTGCCTGTGTTTGGAATACTCCCTTGGACCAGTTTTCTGGTTAGTACTTAATGTAGCACAGACACTAGGGGGAGCCACATAGGGCGCGGATGCTCTAAGCAGGCCTCTAGCTTTATGAACTTATCTTGAGAGAATTATGATAGAAATACCCCAATTCTTCTCCTTTCATAAAATATCAAAAATGAGTGTTATTCATCTCCAGTTTCAGAAAAATACTGTAACTATAAAGAAAAATAAAGGAAAACTATTGTATTTTTTAAAGTCTCCTTTGAATACACCACAATTTGAAAGCCCAAACAAGCCAGTTCAAGGGAACCTGAATCACTGCGTCTTGGCTGAGCAGCAGAAGCAGTGGGGCACTGATACCAGAAGGGGCTTCTTCGCTTTCTCAGTTCTCTCTCAGTGACAAAGTCATATCTGACTGGCCTCCAGATTACAGCTTGGGGCTCGCTTAGAAGTTTCATTTGGTTGTACAAGAAACATAAGTACAATAATGATGAATACCTAAAAGAGTATTACCTAAATTTAATCTACCTAGAATTTCTGAAATTAATGACAATTATCAATTTATGAACACTAGAGGGCAGTAAAACACTAGAAGGTATATTTAAATTACATATATAAATGTGGCAAAGGCCAGCCAGTCATTTTTTTTAATCGGAATATAACAATTTATTCATTTTCAGGTTGCTAAAGTACAAAGCCTTCTTTGGTATGTCATTTCAGGTATAACTTACTTAGCAAAGTCCAAATAAGAAACGTGTCCGTGGTAAAATCCTGGTTTCATCTCTTTCCAGGAAGTAATATTCTTCACAAATCGCACCTGAAACAGGAGAACACCCTCATTACTTAGGTACGATTTTAATAAAATGAAACTTAATGATGGCAAAATACTTTCCATGCAGGCGTTTAAAACTAATCACACCACTCTCATAACTACAGAAGTTAAAACACAGATTTCTAACTAAGGAAAATATACTGTGATCTGTAACTACTAATGTATCGTAGAGAGAGCGGTCACCATACTCGGAAAAAGAGAGGACCCTCAAACCAAGTCACACAATGCGATCACTGTCAGTGCTGTGATGCACATACGCTCACGCGGGGTGGGGGGCAGGTACCAACACGCACGATGGCGAGGCAGGCGGCACGAGAGGACAGGACTACTCCGTGCAAATCTGTTTCCCGCTCAGAGACTTGTGGCTCCTACATACCCATTTTCATTAACAAGTAGACAAAGTTGGTTGATAAAAAATAAAATTACAGATATGATATAGGTAAAATAAAAATTTTTTAAATCTAAATATTGCTCTTTTAATTCCCTAGAATTGAAAGTATACAAAAGATTAGTAATATAAAAATCAAGTGTAAATATATATTTCTTAATTTAAAAAACTGTTTAATATAGAACTTGATAAACACAAATATCACCAGCTGCAAAGCAGTGATACACAATTTCTCAGGAAAATGATATATGTGGTCTGTCCAGAAGGTATCCAGCTATGTAATGTGAAAAATAATAAAAGACATGTAATGTGAAAAATAAGAGACATTTATTTAAGAAGATACAAGAAACATTGTACACAGGACAATGACAACCAGTCCCCTTCAAAGTAGGCACCTTGGAACCTCACGCAGTTCTCCCAGTTGCCATCAGCTGCCCTGCCATATTTTCCTGAATCTCACTGATGGTCTGAAATCTCTTCCCTTTCAAAGGTGATTTTAATTTTGGGGAAAATCAGAAGTCGCAGGCCACCAAATCTGGGCTGTAGGGGGTCTGAGACACCTGGGTGATTTAATGTTTCACCAAAAAATTCTGCACCAGACATGACTCATGAGCAGGCACAATACAATGTCTGGTGAAGCTGCCAATCACCAGGTGCCCATAGCTGCAGCCTTCTGAATCATCTGAGTAGTTTCCATGGAGGAGTGTTCAAGTTTAATGCAAAATTTGATGCATATTTGTGGCTCTACTGGCTCAGTCACTTTGAATGTGACAGCCACACAGTACACCTGCTCATTCAACCATGTCTACTGCCCTCATCAACTAATATGGTGAAGTCGTCACTGTTCACTCACGTGCATTACAGTCCACTCTCCTTGGCTGCCAGTTTACACTGATGTCACAAAAACTTCTCATTATATCAATAGCCGGGCTTTTTCCAGACAGACCTTGTACTTTTGATAAGCAAATCTCTACATGATGAACACTAAATGATTAAGAATCTCTTCTGCAGAGTAGATACAGTGTGGGGGTAAAGGAGGAGATAGGGATGAGGCGAAGGGTGGCGGCCCACCACCCTACACGAAATTGAAAGCATCTGTAAACTATGACCTCAGCCTTTAAAGCAGAGGACTGCCAACAGGATACGTCTGATAATTTATCAGTCTTTCATTTACATGTTAGAATGAAGTTAGTTACATGAAGGTACCCTGGAGCATTTCCTAGCAGACCCACCAGTAAGTTAACAGCAATGAATGGTGATGGCTGCCTCCTGGTGAAGGGCTGGTGGAGGGCAGAAGGGAAACACTGCAAAAGCGGCAATGTCAGGAATGTGAACTAGAGAGAAATGAAGTTTCTGGAAGTAAAAGTCATTTTTTAAGGGAAGCATTAATAATTCATATTCTAGAGAAATAATGGAGTTTTTAGAAGGGAAATTAAATGAACCCTATCTGTTTATCTTCTTCACACACACACTCACATAACCTCAAAATAAAATCTGAAAATTGAATGTAGCTAAAATTACGTTGCATTAGAAAATAGTTTAGCAGATATTTTCAATTTTTCCCCACCAAAAGAAAGAGCCAAATAAATGTGTGATTTTAGGTTCTCATATTCTTTCCTATTTGTTCTTCAAGTAAGACACCAAACAGAATGAAAGTTAACACCTGGCTGGTGTAGCTCAGTGGATTGAGCACAGGCCTGCGAAGCAAAGGATCGTGGTTGGATTCCCAGTCAGGGCCCATGCCTGGGTTGCAGGCCAGTTCCCAGCAGGGGATGCATGAGAGGCAACCATACATTGATATTTCTCTCCCTCTCTCCTTCCCTTCCCTTTTAAAGATAAATAAATAAAATGTTAAAAAAAATAACAAATGGCAAATGAAAAAGAAAGAAATCAGATAACCTAAAAACTGAATCTTTAAAAAGTGCTATATGTTGAATATCAAGAGTCCTTATAACTGTCAATTAATGATATATTATTTCACATAAGCCTTTGGCTGTATAAAAATAAGTTCCAGTATTCCAGCCAAAAATCAGGGGGAAATAGAAGGCAGAGAATAGGAATGGGAGCTGGTGGTTCACGGCTGCTTAACACATGTTTAGCAACTCAGCTTTATTTTCCAAAAGCTGACATTCACATGGTTATGATGGTGTAAGGGGAAAATGAAAGGAGATGTCAGTTTGAAGTCTGAGAAAATGGTGTTACATAAACCAAATGTTAGAGAAGATCATCATAGTACAAACTTAACAGTACACTGTTGTGAAAAACTCAGGCAGAAATAAGAGTTAGATGTAGGTTTCATGTATCCTTTCTTCCACTCTTCCTAAGAAAGGCCAAGATTAAACTAAACCCATCTAAGAACACACTTCATTCAACATGTGTCCTTCAACAGGAGATAAAGAGCCCAGGAAAGCTGGATGCCTGGCTGCTTCAGGGCTTCTCAAACATCAGCGCGCAGGTGACTCTGCTAAAATGCAGATTCTGGTTCAGTAGGTCTGGAGTGGGGCCTGAGACCCTGCACTTCTGAAGAATGTCCCCTGGATGGCCAGGTTCATGGGCAACACTGAGAAGCAAGGCTTCGTTCCACCTCTGCAGGCCCAGGAACTAACTCTTGGTTTTATTAATGTGAGCCTTGCTTTTGTAGCACTTACAAAGGTAGCCTGAGGTCTACAGAAGCTCTTTAGCAAGGACATTCACTGTTTTTATGATACGGAAAAAAGGATACTGAAATAGAGAAAAGTTTTCAAGATTACCTTATAAGCTACTTCAGTGTATGAAAGAGAAGAAGGCGGGACAGGAGAAGAATGAGTCCTGCCTACTTATCTCCTCCTCCTCCTCCCATCACACCGTGATACCTGAAGTACACACATCAGAACCAAAGTATTCCAAGAAATACAGTTTGGAAACTAATGAAATAAGGATTGTGTCCCAGGGAAGGTGGACTCGGGGAAGTTTGACAAAGGGAGAGAGTGAAACAAGGCATGAATCTTCCACTGCTACCATCTTAAACTCTCGCTTATAGAATTGGTATTTCAGTGGCGCAAGAGATCAAGGATCTCCTGTACCGTTTATTTCATGTATAAAGAAACTACAACCCAAGAACCATGTACCTTAGGTTTTGGTCCAATCATCCCTCTACACCTCCAGCTAATTTCCTTAACATATTACTGTCCAATTTACACCAGGGGTAAAACGAACCAAAAAAATTGGAAGGATTCAAAAGGAAAGGTGAGCAGCATCATTCATGCCATGATTCTGATTTAAAAACTTGGACACTGAGAATTTCAGGTTTTATCCACTATGGAAACCCCACAAACCCAATCATTAAAACGCCTCGACCTCCAAGATCTCAAAGTTCTGTTGATATGTCTCTCAATTGCTTGTTTTCCTCATTATGTTCATTACAATCTCAACTTCCAAACCACCCTGTTCACTATTCTCACCTAGACAAGCACTTTCCAACAACAATGACTGACTTATTCTTGTCCTTTTTATGGTCCTGGGTAAACGCTGAGGTTGCTGAAGATTGCCCATCAAAACTAAGAGACACAGTCTAAATATCTATGTAGGACTTTTGAATTTTATTTCCTAAATTCATCCTTAGGTAAATTCAAGTGCATTAATGTTGCTTTTAAATTCTCTACACTCACTGCTAAAATCTCCAGAGCGCTCAGAATCTTTCTCTAATCTCTGGCTAATAGAATACCGAAGGCTACATACTTGATGCACATGTATTTTTTCCTACCTCATCAACATTTAACTAAGCCATTAAAGTCTCATTAATAAAACTGTGGCTGACTTACAATCTGCATAAATCAAAAGATGCTGAGCTGAGATTTACCTTCCCTTTATAGGCAAGAAAAAAGTGCTAAGCACAAAACTTGTCAGTAAGGTTATAGCGGCCCTTCACGCTGATCTGGAGAATATAGTCTGAACATTCTGAAGTGTCCTTTACGTGCTACTGAAAGTCTATACGATCCTAATCTCTTCTTAAAAAAAAAAAAAAACAGTATTTTTAGGTTTTCTTTTCTAAGGATTGATTTAACCACTTCTCCTTCAGCCATGTTTAATAGTTATCGTCTCAGCCTCTAAAACTGTCCATCTCTGCCCTCCTCACCACCTTCATTTTTCCCTTTAATCAGTCTAGCTGCTCTTCCCGCGGTCCATTGCCTTTATCTGCCTTCTTACCTCTCTTACAACACCTGCCTTGTCTTTCAGTTTTTCTTCTTCTTCCTTTTTTTTATTTTGTCTTTTCCTCTACAGTGAAGCATTCTGCCCATGACTTTCAGATAAAGCTCTGGAGTATTAAGAAGAGGAAATGGAAAGTAGGTGAGCAAGCCTCCACTTGGTTTATTTTATGGATTCCGACTGACTACACTTGGCACTAATGAAGATAAAGAGATAGGCAAAAAGGAGTATAACTAATAGCTTCAAGTGAAGTTCAGGAGACTGAAGGCACCACAGACTCTGGCTTGGGGAGAAAAAAATAGTCACCAGAGTGACTTTACTCAAAGAGAATGAGTACACTCTGGTTAAACAGGCTATCAGGAAGGATGTTTCAGCAGCAGTGGTGAGACATAGGAGATGAAAAGACATGTTT